GGACAGGGACAGCACGGGGTTAGATACAGAGTAAAGCTCTCTCTACACTGTCCCCCACATCAAACACTCCCAGGGACAGGGACAGCACAGGGTTAGATACAGAGTAAAGCTCCCTGTACAGAATCATCGAATTATTACGGAGTAGGAAGAGGCCATTCAGCCTGTCATGCCTACACCAGCCCAATTATCCGTTGCTGTTCTATTCCCTACAGCCAATCTCCTGCCTCCTCCCAATACCCTTGGCCACCATTTTCATCCAAATGACCATCCGATGCCCCCCTCCAGTTGAGTGTGCCTCCGCCACGTTTCCAGGCAGCGCTTTCTGGACCCTGATTGTCGGGATCGAAATGAGGTCAGCCGGGGCAAACCTCATGGAATTCAAGTTCCCTAAGTGGAGGCTGCTCCAATCAGGGAGCCCTGGCTGAGCAGGGTCAGAGGTTCTGTTGCCTTTGAGAGAGCTGGATCAGTGTCAGGGACTCGCCACATATAAGTAAAGGGTGACTTGGTGATGGGATACCAGCCTCTGTGGAATTATTTCACTAACTACTTCCCTGGGGGTGGGAGACACTTGACTCACCTCCCTCCCCTTTTGCTTTATTTGCCTATTGCTATGAAGCCTAGCCCCTTGTTCCTTTTACAAGCAGTTACAGCTTCTCCCTGTCCTGCCTGCTCATGGCCTTTGTAAACCTCCAATCAGATCTCCACCTTGTCTCCAGGGGAAAACAGCCCCAACGTCTTCGATCGATCCTCAACGTCGAAGAATTCTCGTTTCTGGACCCATTCTTGTACAAGGCGTTTTTAGCTTTCTCTCTCTCCACAGTTTTCCTGTAATTTGTCTCCCACAGCTGTGTACAACACTCCAGTTGAGTGTCTGGCACACACCCAGGACAGCACAGGGTCAGAGGGATCAGTGGATACGGAGAGAAAGAGGGAATAAGCTGCATTGACCATGTTGAATGGCAGAGCAGAATCGAAGGGCTGAATGGCCTACTCCTGTTCTTATTTTCCAATGAAAGTGTACAGCGTAGGAGCAGAAACGGATGATCGAGCCCATCAAATCTGCTTGCTCTTCACTGAGGTCATAGCCAATCTTTTGCGTTCTGCATTCCACATTCTCATTAACCCTGATCTCTTGCCATAAAGAATCCACCAGCCTTAAAAAAAAATTCAGTGACCCCCTTCTGAGGCAGTCACACAACTCTCTGAGGGAAAAGAAATTCCAGTCAACTCAGCCCCAAAGCGGTGTCCTTTAGTGTGAAACAGAAAAGATACCCGTGAGGGTGTGAGATACACCTTGGCAGCGATGGGTTGGGGAATGTTATTAAAGGGGTTGACAGTGGATAGACAATGGCTCATATTGAAAGGAAGTGTGCTCAACTAACAATAATTATGGATCCATGTCTGGTGAAGAACAAAACAGGCAAGTTGGCTCAGCCATGTCCGACAGAAGAAACTAGGGACAGTATTAGATCCAAAGAGGAAACGTATAAAGTTGCCAGATGAAGCAACGAGCCTAAGGATTGGGAACATTTGTCGAATTAGCAAAAGTGGACAAAATGTTTGGATGAGAGGGTGAAGCAGGGCATGAGTAAAGGGAACTTAAAAACTGACTATAAAAGCTTCTGTAGATATGTAAAGAGATAAAGATTAGTAAATATGTGTACATGTCCCTTACAGTTAGAAATTAAAGAACTTATAAGAGGGTTGGGGGCTAAGAAATGGCAAAAGACCTGAACACGTCATTTGGTTTGGTCAAAATAAGAGAGGGAAGAAATAACCTCCGAGAAATGTTGAGGAACTCCTAATATTAGAAAATTGAAGGAAATCAGTATTGGTAAGAAAGGAATGCTGAGGAAATTAATGAGAGGGTACAACTGGATCGTCAACAACCCAGAGTACAAAAGGCCTGGAAATATCGGATACTGTGTTGGTCGTCTTCCAAAATCCCACCCTCAGGCAACTGTCTGTGTGGGGTTTGCACATTCTCCCTGTGTCTGCATGGGTTTCCTCCGGGTGCTCTGGTTTCCTCCCACAGTCCAAAGGTGTGCAGGTTAGGGTGGATTGGCCGTGCTAAATTGTCCCGTAGTGCCCAGGGATGTGCAGGTTAGGGTGGATTGGCCGTGCTAAATTGTCCCGTAGTTCCCAGGGATGTGCAGGTTAGGGTGGATTGGCCGTGCTAAATTGTCCCATAGTGCCCAGGGATGTGCAGGTTAGGGTGGATTGGCCGTGCTAAATTGCCCCATAGTGTCCAGGGATGTGCAGGTTCGGGTGGATTGGCCATACTATAGTGTCCCATAGTGCCCAGGGATGTGCAGGTTATGGTGGATTGGCCATCCTAAATTGCCCCATAGTGTCCAGGGATATGCAGGTTATGGTGGATTGGCCGTGCT